AAGTTACGCAAAAAACAGCTTCTTCTTCATGTATAGTAATGAAGGTTTGTTGTGATTTATACGTCAATTTCGTGTATTATTTGTTTTACGTCTTTATATATTTTTTTCTTTTAAATTAAGATTACTTAGTTTTAGTTCTTGGTTTTTCTTTTAAGTTTTAAATTAATTCGGTAAGAAGAAAATATAAAAAATTAATAACATAATATTGAAAACATAAATTCACAATTAATCTATTTTATATCTTTATTATATTTTAAAAAAAATATTTATACTATAATAAATTGTTTTACATTATTTTATTTAATTTTTTTAAGTTATTATATTTTAGTTTTTTTGTTTGATTATTACTGTTATTGTTGCTTAAAAAAGTTTAACATTTTATATTGATTAAATGATCGAAATAGATACTTCCAATTTAGGAAATAAAATACCTTTTATCTATATATCATTATTTTTACAATATCACTACAACAACCAATATAATATATTCTTAATATTTACAAAATTACCTGCGTACCTTATATTATACCGATTATTATATTATCGATGTTGTATCCTTCTGTAAAATGTGTTTCCTACACTAATATATGTTTTACATCTTAAGGATAAGTATAGTAAATAACTTAAAATATTATTTATAATTTTTTTAATGCATATTTAATATTATCATTATAAGTATTTTAATTGATTTCAATTTAATGTTTTGTATATAATATGGGTTCACAAGATATTGTGTTTCATTAATTAGAAAGGAAATATGAATTGATAGTTTCTAAAGTGTCTAAACAAATATAATTTTTAATAAAAATATTTCCTTAAATTTATATCTATTTTCATTTATCACGATGCAGATGGATTCATAGAAAATTTCCCATAACAAAAATTTAACGAATGATAATGACAATATTTTAACGTGCTTCTAAATTAACTAAATAAAATTATCATGTGAAATACAAAATAACTTATCAGACTAAATATATATAAGATCTTGAAAATCTCGTTTACATTTTGGTTTTTGTGAAACGCTTATTTATTTTTTAAATTGTAAATATTTTTAAATGAATTTTGATTTTAACACAATGTGATATAACACAACAGATAAAAATAATAACTTTATATTTTTCATAAATTTAAAAGTAATAATATTATTGCATAAATCAAAATATATTGATAGGGTTTATTATCAAGTATTTTATGAACATGTAACAGAAGGTGATTATTAGACTCTCAAATTCTTTCCGATATTCAAATATTTTAAAAAATAGATGGAATAAATTGAATTATAATTTATTGTCTTTTAACTTAATCAGTTTGAAAAAGTTTAGGCAGATAAATTTATTTTCATTATTTTAAATAAAATGATTAAAAAAAATTAAATTATAGAAAATAGGTGATATGATAATAATACTTTAAGTTAAGCCACTTTAATGACTACGTGCTCACACTTTTTTTTTTCTTTTCCACAAACTGATGGATTTCAATTCCAGGTCGCATTTCCCGCCTTTCGCCTTTCGCATTTCACTTTTAATCTCTCTTAATAAGCTATTTAATCCCTCTTTCACACAAAGCATAATTTTAAAATAACTAATCTCCCTTTTTGTAAAACATTTTATAATTTATACCAAACATTAAATTATATTTTTCTTATTTATATTGATTAAGGATTATAAATGTATACGTTTTATTGATAAATAAGTTTGAAAGTTCTTAATAATAAAAGTAAATTCAGTACAACAATAATATTATTTTAAAACTTAACAAATAAATTAACTTAGTTATTTTTTTATCGATATATGTAATTATGTCAAAAGTATCTTAGAGTAAACTTTTTAAAATTTGAAAAAAAAAAAGTATATTTATAGAATTCATATTAATATAATATGGAATATGGTCTTGTATTAAGAAATGAAAAAAGTAGAACAGTAGTAATGATTTACATTTGATTATTGTTTGAATTAATTAATAATAATAATTGCTTTAACGCGGATTATTCTTTGACCAAGTGGAAAAGCTACCCCCACGACTTTCCATAATAATTAGTAAATTATTAAGATACGGTTCCGAACAAAGACAAAAGATAAGGTGAAAGCAAATCAAATTAGGGTTCAGAGTCCAATTTTTGACTAATCCCTCACTCTCTCTTTCCCATTCAATCACCACCCTTCATTTTTCCCATCATGCCTTGCCTCTCTCACTTTATTTATTTATTTATTTATTTTAAATAGTTTCACATTGTTAGGCGGCATCACTACTTAAAAATTATTTCTCTCAATTTAAAAATGTTTCTATTATTTCTAATTAAACGTTTAAAAGATAAAATTATAAATTGAATAAACGTAATTAGATTCAATAGAAAGTTTTTCAAAGTAAATTATGTTTCTCTTTAAATAAAATATTTTAACTTCCTAATCATAAATTGAATTCGAACATGTTCAGACAATTCAAATATTTTACCTACTATGTGACTAAATATTATACGACTTAAAACTGACTATTTGAATATCCAATAATAAATACAATGTGTCCCATCACTTACTAAATCTGACGCATTCTAAAAAAAAAATTCACTGGGGATAACACCATTACCTACCTACCCTGAAGTTGGAAAAGAAAAATCCAATTTTGCTTCAGGCCATTGCTACAGCATTTGTTATTTCCATTTATAATTTTGAATATTGTTTTCAACAGTTATTTCTTCTGGATGAAATTAACCAATTCAAGTAATTGCAGTTGAATTACTAATTTGGTGCTTTAATTATTCGGTTTGGTCAATCTCTCATCCCAACAATACAATACACCCCATGCAAATATATTGTCATTTTTCAATCTTCTGGGTTTGGTGTTCAACCTTCAATTTATTTTATATTCTATGAACTCTTTAAAAGAAAACGACATCGAATATTTAAAACAAAATGTATGTCTTTTGGTACGTAGAAAAATTATCTTCAAAACCATTTATAACCGAGTCAACGTAAAATTCTTGATATAAATTTGCATGTTGCATCCTAGTATATATATTCATAGTTGATTTTTGCGAACGCTCTTCAATAATTCCCAAGACTTCATCAATGACAACTTCTCTAACGTGATTAGTTGCCAAGTTGAAGTTTGAAGGACGCAACATATATAATAATATTAATAAAAAGACTAATTACCAGGTTTGAACCGTGAATAAGGTCTGAATAAGTTTAAATAAAAAAATGGTCAAATTATTTTAAATTCAACACGTCAAATGACGATGAACTAAATTATTTTTTATATATATTCGACTACAATATTAACAAGGGAGAATTAGTCAGAATAATATTGAGTCTACCTTTCACATGTTTAAAAATTCAATTGCTCAACACAATGACTTCATCATATGTCTACATATTTTCTTTCTAAATGTTGCATACGGCATCACAAACTTGTCCTTGCAATATCAACTCATAAGAATTAAGACCTATTTTTAAGTCAGGTTATACATTTTTTTTACACAATTATATAACGTCCTTATGATGTGGATATTTCAACTAAATGTTTTTTTTTTCTACAAACCTGTGTCATGCAATGTCCGCATTTGTTTATTCAAGTTACTGGGGTAAAGTTTATGTATAATATCCATGAAATTATTAAGATTATATTTTAATTGAATAATCATGTTATTTCGATAACTGGTATCATTTTTAATAATTATATATAATAAAGATGATGCTTGCCAAAATGAAACTTAATTTTGAAATAAGACTAACAATACATACCATAATATATCTGTGTTTATTTAGAACAATAACTTTAAATTTCACCGGTTCCATTATTAATAACATGTTTTTGGTACACAAATTTAAAGTGTTGTTAAAATATTTGCAAATGATGGTGTAAAAAAAGGCATCCTAATTATTATTTGTGATAATGCAGTTTTTTTCTTGGTATACATCAATGTTTGGTGTAATTAACTCGAGATGTATATGAATGTAATGTAGAAGGAATTGGTAATTAATTACTTTGTCATTCCTTTCAATTTAATTTGATTGAGTCTTTTAGGTATTGATTATTTATGTGTTAATTGAATATTTAATAAAATAGTTATCAAATAAAGTAAAAAGTAAAAATCATCTCGAAATATATATATTTTAATTTCTTACAAATGTTTAGTTAACCAAATTGAAGTGGTTTGGTTTAAAAATTGACTTAAACAGAGGCCCTAATTTAATTTGAATGGTGCCTTGAAAGTTGAAGCCAATCCCACCCAACCCCCAAAACTAATATATTGGACACCACGCAAACACTTACTTCATCCACCATCATCCAACGTTTCTTTTATTCAGTTTCAACTTTCGTTTTAGGCAACAATGAAATAAAACCTCATTTTTCTTAACCATGGAAATAATAATGTATAAAAGGTTTGACTACCATTTATTCACTCTTTTGATCCTCCGTTTGAACTGTTTGATTAATTTGAAACGACTTTAAACGAAAATGAAGAGAGGAGTAAAAAATATAAAAATGATGATAACTGTAAGAAGAAAATAGAAGAGTAATCGAGAGGCGTTAAAAAATGATGCGGTAACGTGGAATCGTAGGTGTGAGGGAGGTTATATAATATTTTTGAGACGTAACCGTCAACTCATATGAGACCCAACCGAACAACTTGACACGCAAACAGAAGAAAAAACATTTGAAAAAGGCACAGAAAGGACAAAACATCACCCATTTTTCTAGTCATATAAAACCCCCCATTCGAAAATCAAATCTCAACCCAAAAAAAAAAAAACAAAATTTATTATTGTAATAATATCCCTCTTTTAATTTTGGTCTTTCTTCCCTCTCCCCTCACTCACCCTCCTCATTTTGTTTAGTTTCCCTCTCTCTCTCTCTCTCACTCTCTCTCTCTCTCTCAGTCAGTCCCTCTCTTTCTTGTTTATTTATTTGTTTATTAATTTGTTCTTGTTGTTGTCCCTTTGGATTGGGGCTGCGCAAAAGAAGAAACAGTGGGAGGTGAAGAGAAGTCAAATGTGATGGGAAGTGGAGTTTCAACCCTGTGTTGGTGCTACCGGAGCAACGAACCGTGCCACCAGGACGTCATATTCACCGCCACAGAGCCATTGGACGAAACCCTAGGGCACTCCTTCTGCTACGTCAGATCCTCTGCTCGCTTCCTCTCTCCTAATCACTCCGATCGCTTTCTCAGCCCCTCCACCTCCCTCCGCTTCTCCCCCACTCATGAACCCCGAACCCGACCCGAATCACATGAAACCGGCTTCAAAGCCATTTCCGGAGCCTCCGTCAGCGCCAACAGTTCTCTCCCCACCACCGTCATTCACTTAGACGAAGACACCCTCGATTGCGTTAGAGCTGCCACCAAGGGCAATATCGTCAATGGCTTCGAAAGCACGGCTTCGTTTAGCGCGCTCCCGCTCCAGCCCGTTCCCCGAGGAGGCGAGCCCTTCGAGGTTAGTGGCTTCTTCCTCTCCGGTCCAATTGAAGCCAACGCCGTCTCCGGTCCTCTCCCCGCGGCAGCCGACGGCGGCGGCGGCGGCGAGGTTCCTTTCTCTGCGCCGCTCAGCGGCCTCTACGGTAAGAAGAACACGAAGAAAAAGGTGATTTCGGGATTCCGGAAGGCGTTCAACCGGAACGCGCATGAGATGAAGCGGCCGTGGGTGGTTCCAGTGCCGGAGAAGAAGGAGGCGGCGGCGGAAGCGAGGGGCGGCGAGGGCAATGTGCAGTGGGCGTTGGGGAAGGCTGGGGAGGATCGCGTCCACGTGGTAGTGTCGGAGGAGCAAGGGTGGTTGTTTGTTGGGATTTACGACGGTTTCAACGGCCCCGACGCACCGGAGTTTCTGATGGGGCACCTCTACCGTGCCGTTCACAGCGAGCTTCAAGGTTTATTCTGGGAACTGGAAGACGAACAACCGTTGCCGCAAGAGAGCAATCCCGTGGTGGAAGGAACGGAGAGTAAACGGCGTAAGCTGTGGGAGCTTCTGGCTGAGGACGGACTCGACCTTTCTGGTTCGGATAGGTTCGCGTTTTCCGTGGACGATGCTTTGAGCGTTAACAACGCCAAAGCGGGGTCTGCTGTGAGTAGGAGGTGGTTGCTGCTGTCGAAGTTGAAGCAGGGTTTGTCGAAACAGAAGGAGGGTGAAGGGAGAGGGTGGAATTTGGGGAATGAGGAGAAGGAAAAGGAGAAGCCTTGTGGGAGGAAGCGGAAGGTGGGTCCCGTGGATCATGGACTTGTTTTGAGTGCGTTGGCTCGGGCACTTCAAGTCACGGAGGTTGCGTATTTGGATATGACGGATAAGCTTCTGGATACAAATCCGGAGCTTGCTTTGATGGGTTCGTGTTTGTTGGTGGTGTTGATGAGGGATGAAGATGTGTATGTGATGAATGTTGGGGATAGTAGGGCTATTGTTGCACACTATGAATCCAAGGAGGTTGATTCTAGTGTTGAATCGGGAAGCAAGGGTGGTGTTGAGTCCGGTGCTGAGAGCATAGTTGAAGAGTCATTGGGTTTGGGCCAAAGTGCAAGTGCTCAACAAATGAGGTTGGCGGCGTTGCAGCTCTCTACTGACCACAGCACCAGCATTGAAGAAGTAAGTTTTAGATTTGGTAACATGCAGTATTAAGTGATTATGATATGTTCAAGAAGTTAGATTTTTTGTTGTTCTTGTTTTAGTTGAACATACTGAAGGTATACTTTTATTAAAGGTGGTGCTTATTGTTTTGCAGGAAATCATTAGGATTAAAAACGAGCATCCTGATGATACCCAATGCATAGTCAATGATAGAGTTAAAGGCCGCCTGAAGGTCACCAGAGCATTCGGGGCTGGATTTTTGAAACAGGTATCATTTAAAATACTTTGTTTTATTAATACTATGTTTTATGTGTGCTTCTGGACCATTTTCTACTTCCATCAGAGAGAAAATAATATACTGTTTTTTCATACTTTATGCATCTTGGGTGGAATGATGTTTTACACTAATTCTTTGTTTAATACAAATGAAGATTTATTGTTAATCTTGCTTAATATAATCCTTTGTTGAGCCAAAGAGTCTGTTTGCGTGCTTAGGAAGTGTTTAAGGTGAACCCGTGTTCTTATGAGAGGAGCTTATCTTATAATTATATATTTAGATGGTCCATATTTGGTTCACGCAGTGGTGTCAATATGAATCTCAACCCCCGAGAGTTAGCCCAGCTCACCACAGGTTTGAGCCGGGTTGGTGGTGGGTTGACCCGTTTTTTTCAATCTTCAACATTCTAATTTTTTTAATCCATATATTAGTGTAAATCCATAGAAAAAAAAACATTTTAGTGAGGCAATCCAACTATTTTAGTAATTTAAAAAGAAAATATAATTAAAAAAAGATATATATTTAAGTGGGTCAATCCACCTAACTCATGAACTTGTGGTAGGTCGAGTCGAATTGAACTGACATATTTTTGACGTAACCTACCTGTGGTGACCAAACCCTTGTGAGTCACTTTGACTCAAGTAAGTTCATCTATGTATGGTCAAGTTTATCTCTTCTCACCCCTTGGGCTGTCACTTGATACAAACATAAGCTTTTTAAGTACATAAATGAATCTTTAAACATATGCTTGAAGCCATGGACGTCTTTGTATCCATACATATATAGTTTAAACTAATTATATTAACGAGGCCAAGCATCTTATTGGTCATGATTCTTTCATCTTTTATTGTAAACTTTTGGTATCCCAGACATTTTCGTAATATTAGTTATTGTGGCAAATAGAAGTATCTATGACAATGTAAAATACTTAAACAAAAAATAACTGGTAAAGTTGCAAAACTTGTCTGTGTTGGGATTTATGTTTTAGGAGAATTGTACGAGTTCCCTTTCTCTCTAAGCCAAGTAAGTTATAAAAATTAATAGGGATTGTTTTTCTAAAATACCCAACACACAATTAGACTTAAGTCTCACAATATACTCCTAATTGATAAAATGAGAAATCGATTACTAAAGCCAAATGTTGGGAGACCATGCTAACACTGGTAATTCATTATTACGTTCCAAATAATTAGTCACGAAAGCCACATTTCTTGTGCTTATGGTACTGCTGCACATGTTGATACTCATCTAAATGGAAACTTATAGGTCTTTTTGCTTATCTTGTTTAGGGCTGCTGCACACTTCTCATATTTGACATAAATTTATTCTGACATGACTCAATGGATTGTATTTTTCCCCAGCCGAAGTTGAATGATGCAGTACTAGAGATGTTTCGCAATGAATATATTGGCACTGCACCATATATATCGTGCTCTCCTTCACTACGTCACCATAGATTACGCCAGAGAGATCAGTTCCTAATCCTCTCATCTGATGGTTTATATCAATATCTAAACAATGAAGAAGTTGTTTCTCATGTTGAGAGCTTCATTGAAAAATTTCCAGAAGGAGATCCAGCCCAACATTTAATAGAAGAGGTGCTTCTCCGTGCAGCTAAGAAAGCTGGTAAATGAATCTTCTGACCTTTTGGATCTTCCTTGTTTTACATGTTAAATGTGCAATTTGCTGAGTGACATAAGTGTGGAATATTAATTAGTATTTTTTTTTTTCCATTTGTAAATTAAAAGCTTTTTGTCATGTCCTATGTGGTCATGCTAAATTTTAATGACTTAAATTTGTGGTTGGTTTTTTATGTATGAACTCATGTCTCTATTTGAAGCTATATTTTAACTATTTTGTTTTGAATAACGAACTGATGACATGTTTTAAGAAGTAAAACACTAAGCCTTGCAGAGTGTACATTTTGAAGGATTTGAACCCCTACAGACATTTGATGCTGGGAGTTCATTAATTATTATTTATTACCTATTGTTCTCAAGCTTTTTTATTAAAATGTTATGTGCCTCAGAAATGTGTTGTTTCTTAGTGGGAGATTGTTTATGTATTATGTTTATATTTTCCTTTGTCTGGAACGTCTTGTTCACTGCTTCAATAGTTCTTATCTTGTGTACAACATCTAATTAGTCATTGTCCTTCTTTAGAAAGGTAGCAGTTTTTTCATTGTCATATACTTTACTCTTTCATTAAAATCCCATTACTTCTAAATTATTTCCGCAATCTGAGTTTGATAAAGCCAATTTCAGAAAGGACTATTTTAGTGAATTTCCTGCTTTATCGTGTATAATACTCGTATGATTGAAGAGTAAGGCTGACATAACTCTTTAAATTCAGGAGGGTTATCGCGTCTGTCTGCTTTTGTTTGGTTCTTGTATTTGGATAAAACTTATTTTGAAATACGTTTGATGCTAGTAGGGTCTTTTTCACTTTTCAACCTGCTTGGGTTGGAGATTATGCAAGAAATGATGCTAAAACAAGCAAATAATTAATGCAAGGAATATGTTGATTTCATTTTTTGTAGAAACTTTTGGATTGCCAACTATAATGTATACACAACCCACATTTATAGGTTATTTTGGAATGATTTGTGGCAGGAATGGATTTTCATGAATTGCTCGATATACCACAAGGAGATCGGAGGAAGTACCACGACGATGTTACTGTCATGGTGGTATCACTCGAAGGGAGAATCTGGAAATCGTCAGGAAAATATCCGTGAGACAATGAGGCCTGCAGCTTGTTGGCTTATACATGTGATAACATTTTTGCACCTGAGTGTGCCATGAAGCCAGTGCTGAAGTTTCAAAGCCGGTCCATTTTTCATGGGTCTGGGTGTGTTTTTCGCGATCTCGCAACATTAAAAATTATCTACTGGGTGGGGAATCTCAGATTTTACTGGCCGAAGCTTACCGCTATGGCTCTGTCCAAAATTAAAGAAAGCTAAATGCAATTTGGTATGAGCTATAAGAACAGGCATTGCAGATGGACCATTGGGAATTCTGTTGATTTAAAAAAAGAAAAAGAAGCATAGTCGCGGTTCCTTTTTCCATTCGCAGCTCTATTCCCTCTTCTCCTTTTTCTTTTGAGGCTATTGAGATTAAAAATGACAGTGATTTTGCATAGCCGAGACCTTGTCTGTCATTCATTTTTTTTCCTCTCTTCTTTTTCTCTGACACACCAAGAGAAACGGGTGTATATGGGTGGGGATACAATTGTAATGATTGAAAGTCCTTAGTCAGAAATGACGATCTGTAACTGAGAGTGGACTTCCACCATTTCGAATTAAAATGGTTATTATGAATTTGAGACCACTGCATTGCATGAAATTGCATTATGCGGAACGAAAATGACCTCTCATAGATTAATAGTGAAAAATTCAATAGTTTCAAACATTATGTGTTAATTAGTACTTTAGCATGTGTTTACACAATCCAGAATGTAAAGCGTCTTTCGAAAATTATCATGACAATATGCAAATTTTAATTTTTATAATTTAAAATTTGAATAAACAAATAGTTTTTAAATATAAATAACTTATATTAAGTTAAAATTCTAATATATTTGTACTTTTAAGTATATAAAATATATTTTAAATTGATAATAAATCATTTAAATTGTAATATAACAATTTTAACTATTGATATTTTGTTTTAAAATTATAGATTTAAAGACGGATAAAAAATTTCATATGAATATAGATTAGTGATTAAAATTAAATATATAAATAAATGTAAGAAGGAATTGGAGAATTTTTGTAGTAAGTTGTGAAACAAAATTGCAAAATATATATTTAAAAGAAAAAAAAGAAAAAAAATTATATTAAAATATCTAATAAAAAGAGTATAAATCGGTGTCCTTTGCTACATATTAGTTTTGTGTTTTTATTTTTAAAAATAATTTTATAAATCTATTTTAAAAATAAATTAAAAAGTTATTTATATTATAAAAAAATTACATCATTAAAAGAAAAAAAATCATAATAAAAAACCGTGATAAATATTACAAAAATGATTTGAATAATAGTAAAGATAATACTATCATTAATAAAAATTAAAAAGGAAAAAATATATTTTTTATTATTTTTGATTGTTTAATTAAAAAAAGTAAAAAAAAAATAAAAAAAACTATTTAAAAAAAAATAGGCAATAACCTCTTAGTGTTAAGGTGCATATGGGATCCTGCGAAATTTGACATGAGATGGTCGAGTGAATACATCTCATCCACCCATAACTTTTATACATGAATTTGCATGATTTCTTTTGAATAAACTAAATAATTGTAATGACTAAATTCTCATACAACGAAAATGTAACTACAGAGGATATCAACTTCGTACATGCTGTGTTTGAATTCTAGCATTTATTACCAAGGTGCAATTTAGCATGGGGGATAGGACTCAAAACAACTTTCATAATGACTGATTCATGGCAGCATGCATCCAGTCTTTTCTCCAAACGTGAAGATGTCTATATATGAAGGTAAAAAAAGAATAGTAAATTTCAGGATGAGTTACATTGTAAGAAATGAGTGGAAGATTACACATCCCATCTCTGGTTTCAACACTTTACATCTTGGCATTTCAAGTGATAAGCAGACCTGGAATTATCATTATATTTTATGTTTCAGCCATGTCGTACGTGAATGTCACTTGAACCACATCATCTATGTAGCAGTAGCAGCTGTCGTGGAGTTTGATTGCACCCAAGAGACTAAATCCTCCCTAGTTGCAGTAAAACAACCAACTTTTTCCTCACTCTTCCTAAATGGAACAGCTAGCTTCCTCAAATGAGAGGCAAAGGAAATATTGAGTCCTTGAGCAAACTTATGAGCACCTGTACCAGTTTGGGCAAGGAATAACTCTGGCAGTGTCTCCTCCCGCTTAACAATTTTGGTGAGTGTCCACATCCACTCTTCAAGTGCAGTTAGAGCTGCACCAACTGATAATGATCTAACGTCTAAGCACCATTCTTCATCAGTTTTGTTGTGTAAACTTGGGTATAATCCATACAAGGTTCCTAAGTAGAGTAGCTCATGGGCTCTCTCTAGAAGATCTTTGTTTCTACATATGTCAATCAAGCAGTTACAAAAGGGTCTTCTCACTTCAACCGCTGCGCTGCTCATGATACCCTTGAACTCTTCCTTGACAGTCTCAAAACTGGTTTTTTCATCTTCAATCAATTGAATAAAGGCAACCAATTTTGGATTAGCTTGCCGCAAACAAGCAAGGACTTTTTCTTCATCCTTGCTGGCCTGAGAAAGAGACACAACAGATAGCAAGCAACCACATAGCCTATCATCTGGCTTAATTCCTCTCTCAACTGAAGTATCAAAAACTCTTACCAAACCATCAAATTCCATAGCCCTTCCCAAGCACTGAATCAAACAGGTAATCCCCATCACATTGAGTTCAGCACCCGACATGCACATCTCTTCAAACAATTTCATTGCCTTTTCGACATCTCCTTGACTCCCGTATATGTTGAGCATCGCCGTGTAACTATAACTGTCTGGCTTGCAATGTGCAGACTGCTTCATGTCCCTGAACAAAGTTTCAGCTTCCTTCACCAGTCCGGCATCCGCACACATATTCAACAATGTATTATACAAGATAAAATCCATAGGCCAGCCATTTTCCTTCATTCGTTGCCACAACTCCAAAGCATCTCTAGACCACCTGGCCTTGCCATATATCTTAATGACCGCCGTCAGAGTCTTCTCATTCGGCACAATCCCCCATTCGATCATTTCTTCAAACAGGCCCCTTGCGAACCCTGGCTTCCCAGCCTTTCCCATTGCCTCCAACAAGGTGTTATACACAACCAAATTAGGCTTCACCCCAACAGACTCCATCTCCTGAAACACATACCTAATGCCATCATAGTCCCCAGCCTCCCCAAACATCTTCCCCAAAACTGAGAATGTGATGGAATCAGGTTTCCACCCTGTTGCTCTACCTCTCTCATACAAACTTATCACCTCTTCAACCTTGCCTAACGTAGCATAAACATCTAAAATAGTAGCGTAAGTTACCTCATCAGGCATCAAACCAGTCTTGTACATCCTCTCAAACCAGTGCACAGCCTTGTCAAAGAGGTTACACTTCTTGGCACAGGAAATGATGGTGGAGTAAGTGATGTTGTCGAGTGGAACCCCAGTGTCGATCATCTGGTGTGCAAGTTCTTCTATCAGCGCAAACTGTTTCCCGAACCTCAAAGACTTCATTGTGACATTGTAGAAGATGGTTTCCATGGGAAGTAAATTCTGGGTCTTGATCCAATTCAGAAAAACACGAGTCTTTTGCCATGGCTTCAACGTGTTGAGTATCAACAACACGTTTTCTCTAGTAACAGGGCGTGGAATATCCTCCAAACAAGGCAATAATTCATCTTCAGAGGAACCACACTCATTTAGTTTGTGAGCAAAACGTTTCAAATCTGTCGACTGTGAACTGTATGAGTAAGTAGCGCGTTTTTGTCTCTCAGAGGACAACACTGTGCGCTTTGCTTTGGTGGGGTTGACCCATGTGGATTTTGGCTTTGAAAGCGCATAGGATTGGTCTCCTGCGACAGTAGATAGGGTTTTGTTGGCAAGGGGTGCGAGTTGGTCGGATAAGGAAGTGTTCTTCTTCTTGTTCTTGTTATTGTCTGAAGATGGTGTGGGAGGAGCTTCTGAAGTGGAATTTGAAGTGGCGCAATGTATGAAAAATTTTCTAATGGTTTTTTGTCTACAAGGGGTGGTGACGCCGAATCTTGTTCTTTTGGTGTCTGTGAAGTACACATCCACAACGGTAGACAGTGGAGCAGCCATTGGAGTGCTTTGGCTAGTAACCACTTCCAGGATATTTTTTTATAACCTTATCTAAATCCAAAATATATGAGCTACCCTAATGCTACAAATTCTCAAATTATTTTAGGATATTTCTCTTTTCAAATTACGAAAAGAAACACCCATTAAGTTCTTTTTGGGCTGGGTTTCATGTGTGGGCTTCGTAAGCCTTTTTGTACTTAAGAATGGACTAGGTAGCACAATTGGTATATCCCGTTTTTCCTACCTCGCGATGAGCTTAAAAAAGTTATCTTCTGAAATGTGTTAAACGTTGATAATTTTTACAAATGATTTTCCGAATTTAACTCGATCTAAAAAGAAGAAGATAAAAAAGTGTATACCAGTAAAAGTTAGTCATTTTTTTTAAATGCTACATTCACAACTAATGAACTTATCTTATAATTTTATGGAGGGATGGGGATTATTTAGATATATTTTATGAAAAAGAGTGGTAATGGATTGTTTCCTTCCACTAACCAACTATATTTGGTCTGAAGAAATTTTTAATATATTTATATTTAAGAAATTAAATCATATTTTAAGAATGAATTTAGTTAATATGTTGGAAATAATGTGCGATCAAATGTTTTGGAAATAATAATGACAATAACTTTTAATTATGTGTACTTGATAATTTATAACTTGGGAAATATTCCAATACGAGGTTAATTCTTTATCAGGGTGCACTCAACATTTATCATTTGGCGATTCCACAATATTTAACAAACAGTATCAACTCATTTTGTATTTTAGTGTGGGAGCACAATTCTGAGCAACTTGTGAAGAAGAAGATCTCCACTTTGTTACCGTTGTCAACGATGCTACAAACGTGAAATCATGTTTAAATACTTTAAAATGATATATTTCATAATATGATATGATTTGGTGTAGGTG